TTCAGAGACTAGTCGTACCTAGACTTCCCCAAGGCCTCGAGACGCTGGTGAATGCTGGTGAGCGCCTGCTGCACTCTAGTAGACGCTAGATCGATATCTGTGCTTTCCTAGCCACTGACGCTACCGGACGCTGGAACGCTGCCGCAAAGTATGAGCGCAACCTTACAGGCCGGTGAGATATTCCTTTCGAGTAGTGTCCCGATAACAAACAATTGGTTGCTGCACACGCTATGATGTCGCTAGGAATTTTTTCACTTGTTTTTGTTACCATTTTTTGTCTTTATGAACGATGTTCCACAGAATTCTGTCTGCCCTTGTTTATGGGTGAAGGGTTTGGAGCGCTACTTCTAGGCGTTTGGTAGACAAACATATTACTTGGCAGGGAGCTCACTTGTCTAATTTCTTGAAGCCATGAAAGGCATTCAAAATGTTGCAGTGCTCGTCCGTCTTCAGGAGATTCCCAAATCTTTTGTCGAACCACGCATTACGCACCACAAAATCTTTCTTATATTTGAGTTCCTGATAGATCAGAGTTCTAAGAGACCATATAAGTGAATCATGTACTTTGTATACCTGAAGTCCCTTTGGATAACCAATGTCAACCAAGCGCTTGGTGGAAAGATTGAACGCCAGTTCCTCGGATATCGGAGAATTGTATACTAAAATATTCACGATAGAGAAGGCAGCTGGATCGTAGCGACTATTGCAAGATGCTTTTCAGAATGGGGGTGAAATGGTTTCCAAACGTTGCAGTATCCTCCAGGATCGACTCTCTCTTAATCTTGGCATAGTTTCCGTCAGTTTCAAACGGCTGATACGGGGTATAGCACGTAGCCTAGCGCTATGCACGGTGATCCATACGCCATAAACAGTAACAGCTATTCATATGCCATAAACAGTAACAGCTCCGGGCCTCATTCCTCTTAATCTGAGATAACGAACGACAGGGCAGTGCGGGTTTAGACCGCTTGGGAGAGGCTACAAGAGTTCTAGTTGACGGAGAAGCAAGCTGCCCTGGGCCAGGATGACTAGTGTTAATTTTAGCCCATGAACGCTTCAACCGAAAGCTCACATTGATACTTATTATTATATTATATTGATGAAGAGAGCCAGCATGACCGAGCACGACGGCATCGGGCGCGCCAATGGGACTGCGAGAAGAGCAATTCCCTGTTGCCGCAACTGCCAGAGGCTTTACGAGAACGAAGCAATTCCCTGTCCGCAACTGCAGAGGCTTTAGCTGTGTTAGTGTCCTAGTCAACACGCACTTGGCCATGAACGTCGATTCGTAGGAGAATCTGACGAAGCGAATCAGAAGTTTGCGATTAAGATCAACTCCGACTGTGACATTCCTCGTAGCGTACGGCAACAACAAGCTACAACGAGAATGAGCTCGATGCATTCTGTATGGAGCTGGAGAAGTTCTGCGAGGGAAACCATACTTTCTTCAGGGATATTATAGGTGATTTTCCGCATTGGGGCTCACGGAATGGAGTGGAAGTCAAGACTGAGTTTCTAGTCTTGAACCATTAACAGTGATAAGTCGCAATTCCAGAAGTGCCGCTCTCCAAGTTGGATATGGGAGTCTCCTGGTAAACACTTCCATAATGAGGTCGTCCACATCATCTTCAATGGAATGTTTGGCCTGATTCATGTCGCTGTTCTTCGTGAGTGCTACTCGGGATCGTAACACCGTTCCCTTCCAACATGGAATAAAAGCTTTTGCAGTTATGGTGAAGCAGTTTTCACACAACATTCGTTATCGGCCCTTATCAGTCCCCATCGGCGGAAATTTATAACCATTTCACTTTTGCCGGAACGTGAGAGGTAAACGGTCAAATCGCTCCTCATTCGGAAAAGATCGACTCGGGATGCTTCTAAAGAGGAATGAGAGCCTGCCAACTCTGCTCTTTGATGCTTTTGGAGAGTTGCCGTAGTTTAGTCGTAAGGAGTGCGGAGAAGGAAGCGAGAAAGTGGATCTCAGAAGCTCATTCATGTCCCTTCTTGTCAGAAGGGCTACCGCCCCAGATCCTGCATCCAGCATCGCTGTGGGGAGCGTCTTGAATTCAGTGATGCTCTCCCTCTAACTTCCTTTATTAGCTCTTACCAGTTTTTCTCACTACCTGGCCGCCCAGAAATAACGTTTCCCTCGCACCTGCTGTATAACTTCCTGGGACCACGTTCCCACTGCCGCTGTGAGCACGTGGTTAGTTCAGTGATCCTTCCCCTCTGAAGCCCTTATCAACTCTTACCAGCTTTCATCGCTAATTACCCACCGGTGACGTTCCGGTCCCACCTTTTACATCACTTATCAAATTGCATTCTTTAATAAGGGTGAAACAAACCTGGTATTTGAGTGCAACTCGCAATGATCAAAATCCGAAAAACCGAACACTGTGGGGAGCGAAACTATTATCGGTCCCGCGTTGAAGACCAGCAGATCCGTAGCACGGTTCCGTTCCCAGTCACTCAGACTTGACCTGTACTTGGTTGCTCCAACCATTGCAAAGTTAATCTTCAACGCGGAACCGATAATAGTTTCGCTCCCCGCAGTGTTCGGTTTTTTCGGATTTCGAGTATCAGTGAAGCTTACTTGCAAGGGTGGCGTCCATATCAAATCCGACACACTTTATCTTATCCATCCGCAGTGATCGATTGATGAATATTCTGAAATTTACTATCGAAACTATGATGTCGCACCTCAAATCAAAACGTTTCCTGCTGTTCAGCTTTGACGTAAGAACGACTTACTGTTTATCCATGCTTTTATAGAGGGGCTAGCATCGAAGTGAGACTTACTTCCTGAGAGATGATGTGAAAAACAACTGATAATGCAGCTTGGTATCGTGATCTCCATATTGCATAACTTCTGCAAGCATCCTACTGACTTCTCTAACAGCCTCCAGTTTTCAGTGGTAGTCTTTACCTCTTTCAGGTGTTGTTAGTAGTCCATACCGTGCGATAAAGAACATGCGTACATCGAAAAATTGTTGATTATCAAGAACTGCGAGTGGTTAGTCAGTTCGATGGGTATGTGACCAATCCCTATCGCAGTTACTGATTAAAACAGAGAATTCTGAAAAGGATTGGACATTTACTAAACATTTTGTCGAAAACTGGTTTTCACAAATGTCACTTCTCTGACTCGAACAACTCACAGTCCATATGAGAAGGAAAAAAGAGAGTTTTCAAGTGCGCAGCGAGGTCGAGGAAAAGAGGCCAGGCACGGGAGGGGAGTTGGCGCTTTCCAATATGAACTGTAGATGCCTCATGTTTGCCGATTATCCAAATCTCGCTCTGTCGAAGTGCACAGCCCTTGCAGGCGGTCTTAAGCTACTCGTGTGTTTTCGAACACTGCTATAAGCATAGCCCTCTCAATGCGCCTACATCGCTTACAGACCATCTCGCAATCAAGTCGTCCGCGAAAAATCCTCCTTGAACATCTTTTGTCCGCATTAGCAGAGAATATACC